TGTTATTTATTTTTATTAATTGCTTGTTGAAATGTTTAGAAATATGTAACGTATCGTGTTTACGTAAATGTTTTGTTGTTTTAATTTTTAATGTGAATAGATTGTGCTTATATGAACGGTCGATTTCTAGATTTTCTCGTAGGCATATAGTTGGATAGTTCACAAAAAACAAATTCAAGAAAATATGAAGAATGGAAAAATAATGTAGTAACATACCGATTATTCCAATAGGCCATTMAAAGCTTGGTAATTCTTAAATAGATCCGCAAGCTTCGATTAGTATACTTATATAGTTTTAAGCAATTTGGATCTGTTCAACAATATTAATTTTAACAATTTCTCATATATTTCCTCTTAGGGCTAACTATTGTGAGTTGAAAATGGATAATGTCGATAGTGAGTTCCAAATTATAAAAACATTTTAATATCGACTCCTTGAGCGCATAAGCCTTAGAGTTCTAACTGCAGCCCACATACTAAATACCCCTCTGAGACCTTTGACATCTCAACTTTCAGTTTAAACTTTTTATCGAATGATCCATTTGTTAAAATAATGCGTAGTTTAAATAATAAGAATGTTGATATATGGCCTGAATTTATTGTTATTTTAATGTGTTTCGTTTATTTTTAATTTATTAATATTTTGTTGTCTGGAATACCTTTTTTTTTTCCGTTTTAACCGACGACGCCGCGGGATCTGCTTTTCTCGTTGCTTCCGCAGCGCCGCCATCGTTTATTGACAGTATCAAATATTAATTTGTTGTCTAGAATACCTACGTATGTCTTCTAATTACCTTTAGTATTAGTAGCTTAATACCTATACATATATGATTATTTCATACTTTTTATGTGTAAAAGCCGATGATTGTAGTCTATACCCATAAATAAGATTAAAATAATTATAAATAAATGTTTATATTTATAAGAAAATATTCATTATTTGAGTTTGRCCATAGTCATTTAAGTCTTCACTAATTTTTTTATAGACTACGCAACTACAGTTGTACTAAGTATCGAAAGCAAAATTGCAATTTCACAAGTATTATAATATAAATTAATAGGTGTAAGTTATGGTGTAAGTTATTTACTTTTTATTGTTAAGAGTTAATTATATTATGCTTCTATGGTATAAAAAATTTTATATGAGAATAGTTCATACAAGATAATAGATCAGACTATATTAAAAAAATTACACTATTTGTTTTTTGAAAAAAAAAACCTTAAGCAATTATAATTTAAATAATTCAAAACAATTGTTTTTAAATTTGAAAATGAATATGTTACGGTATCAATAACCGGTTATGTAAACAGAGATTTCAGAAATTTATAGTTGATGGTGCAAAAAAATATAACTATGTATTCGTGTAGTTATGTTTATTTCATTTCACGTAATAATAATTAAACACGGACGAATGTTTAATGTAATATAATTTTCATTGCAGCGAAAATTGTAATAATCTAGATTGAGCTTATATTTTTCAAAAGCTTTTAAAAACTAAAAGGTTGCAGAAGACAGTAAGATGTATAACAAGGAAGAGTTTATAAATATAGGATAAAATGCCATATATGGCATATATGTGACATATCACAGATGAATGTAAAGCGTAAAACGATAAACAAATCATTTTCAAATATGTAGGTGTATGTTATTATTATTATTATTATTAAATTTATTAGAGAATGCTTCATGGTTTACAAATAAGAAAACTTAACTAGAAAACACTTACATTTATGCGATGATAAAAAAAAAAAATGCATTAATCGTTAAATCACTATAAACCTAATTATTTTCATGTTACAAGTAACTATAAAAGTTAATAGGTATAACTAACTCGGAATCAACTTAAATCAATACGCAGCCGTATTGATGCTATAAAGATTAAAATTATATGAAGTAATAGTTTTTTTTCTTTTTTTTCTCTTATCGACAGAAAAGGACGCTCTGAGTATTTTTTACTTAATCTAAATAGGTATAACATATAATAATATTATATTTATAAAATAAGGAAAATGTTTATATTTAAATTATCAATATGAAATATGTAATTTATTAAAAAGTGGAAACATCAATGCTGAATGCAGTGAGTATGTAAACACACTATAATATACATTCATATTATAGATATTATCTGAACACGGATATAATATACAGTTAAAAATTTTGAAGTTAAAGAGGAACCCATTTGATAAGTTTCACGAAAACAAGTCAGCAGCTGCTGTGGCGTCGTAGTAAATGTTTTCTTTTACGATAAAAATCAATTTATGTAGATCATATGCGTTGAATATAAATAATGCATGAGCACAATTCGGACATTTTAAACGATCACTACCTATACCTATACTTTTTTCTTTCTTATATTTTTCTTCCGTTTTTGTAATAATATCGTATATCAGGAATATAACATTATACACTTTATCTAATATTATACATAGGTGCGAACGATCGTTGTCGTGTTATGTTAGGTTTTTAGGTACTGTAAATTGTTATTAATTTATTATTATTATTATTATTACAGCAATCATGAACGCCGTCCGAGTTAGTTAGTTTGTATACACCTAATATTGTTGTTGCGATTTGTTTTAAATAAAACAATTAATGTGTGTACGGCACTTATATGCACCCATCTGCATTTACGATGTTATGCTAACACTTTTTGAAAAGTAATATCAGCATGTTATTATAATAATATGCAGCTAAAGTGTTCGTCCGAACAGTGTTGCATGGAGGGACGCCAATGTCGGCCTCGAAATTGTTAATTTTAAAACGACCTTTCCATCACACAATATGAGGCATATTACTTAGAGACTGCAACGCCTGTGCGTAAGTACGCATGACACGCTCGTCGGATGCGTTCATAACACGTTTTTCAGTGTTGTGCTCGAGTTCCCCCGACCGCGTGCGCCCGTCAACGCGTCTCCCGCGGTGGGTCAAATTGACGATTGGTGGGGAGGGGTGTGTGTGTGTGTGTGTGTGTGTGTGCACACCATGCGGCGGCGTCGGTAAGTTTCGCCCGACTAATCGTGTTTGCGCGTCGTCGGGACACGATAATTAATATAAGTTTATCCGACCGGTCGGTCCGTTGACACTTGATAAAGTAGCGGTATATCATCGCAGCTGCTCCAACGATGTGTGTTGTTTGGCGTTGTAAGCTTGTAACTATTATTATTAAAAAAAAAATTCGTTTATACTTAATAATGTTACACCATATACCGCGTACACAGTTATAATATTATTGTAAGATGATGGGTATAATAATAATAATAATAATAATAACAACATGTACGCAACACGAACTCGCGCGCGTACCTATATAGTATATATACATGTGGCCCCGGCCGAAGACAGCAGGTAGCTGACCGGGACGCCCGCTGACACGCGGGCACTCGTGGTGATATGATGATAATAATAATATTAATATTATGTCCACCGCGGCCAAAACGACACGCATCGAATTATTATAATATTATGCATTTTATTATATCRTATTTATACAAATRCATTATATAGGTGCACGCGTACCTACTGYAGCAGGCGGTGTCTCGACGCGTGCACATGTGTGCAGTTTGTCCCCGTCAATGTCTCTCGGTTTTTAAATAAAATTTTTTTTTCAAACAGCAAAATTATTCTATCTCTATATATATATAAACGGATTCATGTGTTGCGTTTTGTTTTCAAAACGAAATTTTTGAAAATTATATTATTTTATTTATAGTTTATTTCTATTGCTATTGTATATAATTACATAATAGTAACGTTAAGTTCACATTATTTTATTAAATTTTTGGTTTGTGAACGATTGTCGATTTTTCACTTTCTACTTTTTCGAACGATGTAATACAACAGTAATTTCGAATAAATAAGCGTATAAGGTTAAAACACGTATACGCTCGTTTTGTGAGCGTATATTATTGAAATTTTTCAATTGTTCTAAGAACAACTTATGACGAACCTTTTATTAGATTTTCAGGTTTTTTACTCACAATTGAACCATATGTAT